ACAATAGAGGTTTTCAAGTGCCGGTTAGGGTCTGTGGTTGAAGCAAGCGACCTCGAGTGGATTACAGCCCTCGTCAGTTGCATGTCATTTTGCACAGACTGCCAGTCGCCATGAAGTGGCCTATGTCACGTTTATCTACGATCAACTTCACTGCAACAAATCCATCTCTCTCTCTCACTCTCTCTCTCTCTCTCTCTCTCTCTCTCTGCTCGTTCTGACTTGTGTGAGATGTTTGCGTCTTCATGTGCGTCAGTTGCAATAAACATTCCTCGACACCGAAAAGTAGACAGTAGTAGATATTTGGCCTTATTAATGCTGGTCTGTGTATTATTTCGTAGTGATTCGACATTATCGATCAACTGCCGGTCACATTCTCTGCATTCGACACGTTCGAGAAGTGATCGCAACACAGTGGAACTGTGTATCAGATACTGTCCACAGATGACGAGGAAATCCCTGCGCGGGGGGAATGTTTACTGCCAGGTGGACTGGAGGGCTGCTATTGGTGGGAAGTGTGATACGTCAGAGTTTTACGCTACTACACAGACTGAAAACATCAAGCAGTTAAGAGTAGCGTGTAGTGAGTGCACCTCTAATGTGTTCTGTGGGTGTTGTCATAATATTCTAGATTAAATCGCTGTGCCACTGTGAGGTAATCTTAAAGCTGTACCCATTAGAACACGTGAAAGCCTGTCGTCTGTTGTTCGTTCAGTGGTTGTGGAACGAATGCTTTTAGGATGGGTCGTCACTCACCGCGAAATCTCGCGCATGCGCGTATATCGAATTCCTAGCAGGGATTTTCTCCTGGTCTGTGGACTGTACTTATATAGACTTTAAGAAAGCCTATGATTCTAGCACAATAGGAGGAGCATCACTTTGTCAGGTTTCCGGGTTTCGCCGGCTTGTCCTTAAAAAATTGAAACTTGAGGAAGGTAGAGAAAGTGCAGAGGAGTAGCGTGAGAGACAAAACATTTGACGGGCTGGGGGGTGGGGAAAAAGAAATTTTCCGGCTCTGAAGGTTCCAGGCAGTGCCGACTACTTCTTCTGATGAAGGTAGTTTGAAGAGAGAGTAAGGCGTTGGGAGGAGAAGTTGGAACGATGAGGAACGGACAGTCGATCTGAATTTTAAATTTTGGTATTAACGCTCGGAGGGTTGAATTTCGTGGAAATTTTGATGTTAAGATTTGGAGAGTGGCAAAATTTTGAAATTTCGATGTTATTTTTTTTTTTTGGAGGACTGCATGAGAGGAACTCGGTGCAGTGTGGCATTTGAGTACGAAATCAGCATTTGCTCTGGGACCAATGGTGCTCCAATCTGTAACAAGCTACTTAAGGAATGCTTTGATTAGAGTTTTGATTTATTCTTACTCTTTAGGGAAGTCTTATTTAATTTACTTTGCTTTAGTGCAACCATGCATGGATGTAAAAATGTCTGCCATCTATATCAGTGGTATTCAACCTGGGGTACGCCTACCCCCGGGGGTACACGAAGACATCTTAGGGTGTACGTGAAATTTTTAAAAAATATTATTTTATGATAAACACTGAATAATCAGTAATGTAATTTATTTAATTTATTTTAGATGTAGATTATATACTATGTATAACTTGAATTATACACCAACAACTTTTGGGGTACAAAGTTGAAGAGCAATTATATCTGGGGGTACGCGAAGACATCTTAGGGGGTACGTGAAATTTAAAAAAAAATATTATTTTATGATAAACACTGAATAATCAGTAATGTAATTTATTTAATTTATTTTAGATGTAGATTATATACTATGCATAACTTGAATTATACACCAACAACTTTGGGGGTACAAAGTTGAAGAGAAATTATATCTGGGGGTACGCGAAGACATCTTAGGGGGCACGTGAAATTTAAAAACAAATATTTTATGATAAACACTGAATAATCAGTAATGTAATTTATTTAATTTATTTTAGATGTAGATTATATACTATGTATAACTTGAATTATACACCAACAACTTTGGGGGGTACAAAGTTGAAGAGAAATTATATCTGGGGGTACGCGAACAAAAAAGGTTGAATACCACTGGTCTAGGTCATCAGTCTTGTAGCTGAGATACCATGAAGGAAATGCGAGAGAATTTCGATAGAGTAAGAGAAATCATGTGTTAACTTGGGATTTCTGCTTGAAATGTGGATTTACTACTGTCACAGTAATTACGAATAATCATTTTTTATGGCAGTTCTTTTGAATTATGAATCACAGATCATGCTCGTTCAGCCTTCTGCCTTGATTTTGCACTGATATTGAATGTTCTCTTCTCACACATCTACTTCTTCTGTCTTTGTCACACTGCACACTTCTACAGCGCCAACTTCTCAACCAGCTCAGTCAACAGTAATCTCTCGACTCGCTTACCATCTCACAACTGAATATCTCAGTGACTTGTGTATGTCCTGTCTACAGCGGGAGCTACCGAGAGGTGCTGACGGTGTTTAATTATGTTTGGGCAAATCCTAGAAAAGGGAAGGAATATTATGGATGGTCTGTTCATGGAATTTTTTAGAAATTGCAAGAATCCTTACTCTTGAAGAACAGGGTAACTTATGTAGCACACAAAATGTTCCTAAAATTTTCTTTGACAAGATAGTGTAATTGTGTCATATTGTGAATATTCTAACAATTATTTATTTTAATCCGTCTTATCACAATATTTAAAATATCTTATAATTAAGATAATAAAATATCATTGATGTTCCAATATCGATTGATCGATTTACATTTTGGAACATCTTTTACACAACATGTTTCAGTTTTTATAAAACCATCATCAGGTGTAAAATATTTACGAACTTAAAACTCAAATATGATTCCATTTGGTGATGTTTCATGCCATTTGTTTTTCAATTTTGGGCGAGGTGTTGTCTTTTCTTAAATTTTATCAGATGTACATATCGGTCTGTAAGTAGAAGATTGAAAGAAACACTAAAGAATTTGAAAGAATTTATAAAAGAATTTAGAGAATAAAATGCAAAATATATAAATTATAGTTAGAAAGTAGCAGTAAAATATAAATAAAAATAATATAAAATAAAAGTAAATCTAAAATAAAACATACCATAGATGTAGGAGTGATTGTTCCGATATGTCCAGAAGTACTAGTGTCATCTTTGGCTTTCAATTATTCCCTCGTATATCGGTGACGAGGAAGAAAAGGTTTTCCCGAAGACAGTTATGTGCTGATACTTCTGATTCTCTTTCTTTTCTAGGAACCGTGACATTTATCATTGGCTTTACGGGCTGCGTAGGAGCACTGCGTGAAAACACGTGCCTACTGTCAGCTGTGAGTACATCTTTAGAGCAGCATTGCACTGTTCTTTGCTTCATGCAAATGATCATAAATATATACCTGTGTAGTAGACTTACTCGTTACTTTTCGAGGTACGTAATAGAGGTATAAAGCATTTGAGGTGTTGAAATTTTATAAAATGTTCATGAAATTAATTCAACAAAATGGTTGTGTTATGTATATAGACTGTGTTGAATCTTTGCATTTCAGAAAAATTGTAAATTCTTATTTTGTATGTGTATTTATGTTGATGTGCAGATTTTATAAGATGAATTAATATTTACTGGAAGCCATCACACAAATCAGGGTGATAAATATGCTTAATATTTGGATGGTACTATTTTGTTTTCGCAACATTTCAGATCAGGTGAACCGTCGTCAGGTATAAAGTCTGTAAAGTGAAAGCATAAAGTATTAGGCCTGAACTGAAATGTATAGTGATTGCAAAACAGTAAAAATCATGTATTGGGTGTTATTTACCATCTGAATTTGTATGGTTATACAGAAACATTTGCAGAAACTGTGCGATTATTAATTAATTTACTGTAAGCGAAAAACGTTTTATCATGGGGAAAGATCTTAATGTAATAAAATTCTTTGGAAAGGGAGGAAACTCAAAGAAACATGCAGATTAATTAATATATTATTTTACGTAGGGATGTGAATCGTCTGTATAAGAATTGTATTGTACGTGTGTTTATTATGTGTATTTCAGTGGCTTGCTGTTTAAAATTACCTTGTACATTGGCCATGCACAAATGAGGTAATTTTTTAATAGCAGATGTTGCTGTCCACATGCTCTCATGGTTGTTCCATATGAGACCAAGAATGTCCATGACACAGTTCAAGTACTGCGTGACTTACAGACTGAAACGAGCCATAGTGCCATTATGTTTCAACCACGTGGTTAATGTGGCCTTGAGAGGAACATCTTCAAAAAGAAGTGGTAGCTTGTTCTGTAGTGGTGTGCTGTTTAAACATCCCTAGAAAATGAATAGTGCATTTGGTTGTTGATGAGACAGCACCATAAATGCTAAAGTTCTACGTGGATTGTTTTGGGAGACATGGACGGAAGGACGATGCGAATAATTTATCACATAATTACATTTTACTCATGTTGATGAAATATTTTACATGTAAAATAAGCCAATGAATAACCATCTGAAGTTTTGCAGACATTCCGTTGGAGACGCTATCTTAATCCAACTTGGTTATAGGTTACACATGTGGGATGCTATCTATGCAAATAAAATAATAAAACATATTTTTCCTGTGTTTGTTTTATGATAAATCTGAATCAATTGCTGATATTTCACTAATAACCAAACTCTTATCATTTCCAGTATGCAATCTTCCTGGGAATTTTATTACTGCTGGAAATGACAACAACTATATTGGGTTTCATTTTTAAAGACTGGGTAAGTAGATTTAAATAAGAGTCATTCTGTATAAACCCAAGCAGTGATTTCTGAATTATGGTATGTGTACTCATTATGTTACATTTGAACCTCACTTGTATTTTATGGCTTCATTTTGCATGCTGTAGAATGAATTACATACTATTTTCAGAGCACTTTCAAATCGATGTCACAATATGAACTGTTAACGTATAGACCAACAAATAAAGAATATAAAAAAACAGATCATCTATTAAGACAACGTATCTAGATCATTTCCGTTGTTGAGAACGTGCCCTCAAGGGAGACAATGTTTATGCGAAATACGTCGAAAGATTTACATACGTCATTTGCAGCGATGACGCACCTCGCTGAAGGACTATGCCTTAGTGCACTGCTCACACTAAAAGTAGAAAATTCTCTTATTTGCCTCGCCGGCACACGTAAACCAACAGCGTCCATAATGGAATGGCAATTTATTTTGCCCTTAAATACATTAACAAGAAATAAAGCATCGAGATGTCGTCGTCTGGAATAGAGTGTTCTAAAATTTAAAGTAGTTAAAATTAATTCATATTTGTGTGAGATATTAAACAGAAAAGATCGGTAATTACACAAACTGGCAAATGATAATAATGAAAAAGGTAATGTCATGATATTCAGTGTTCATTTCTGCCAATCAACGATTCTTATAAGTTGTTTAATGAATAAAAACATGCATGTCATTTTTTGTTTGTTAGTAATAATTTCTTCATTTTTATTTGTAGTTTAGCAAAAATGTTCAGAAAGTGGTTCATCATATGAAAGCCCAAATGTCTTCACCCCCAGGCTACTTATGTTCTACATTTACTGATAAAGTCACAGTTTTGAGGCTGGCTTTGTTACTGAAGTGAAATGTGAGAACATGTCTAAAATTTAATCAGTCATTCATTTATTAAGTTTATGCCTAATGTGTGAAGATTGCTGTCTTCTGGGTCGTCGTGCCGCGTAGTCTGGTAGAAGTCTACCAGCGCTTCGGAGATCCTTGCTGCCTCCATCATCGGGGCAGTGATCATCATTCTACCAGACTACACTACAGCGTTACAACCCAGAAGACAGCCGTCTTCATACTCACTGCTGTGAAAACCTCAAAACTTTCATACTCTGATTGCATGTGTTTATTGGCATCTTTGAATAAACTGGATGTATCTCATGCAGTAGTATCAGTGTCTCACCCTATAATTGAGATCCTCAAGAAGGAGATATGTGGTCCTTCTCAAAACAGGAAGAGGGACACAACCTCTCCTATCAGAACGACGATCACCACCACTGCCACTTTGACTGCAGCGATAAAACCTACTTTTTCTGGAAATGAAAGTGACCTTAACATTTTCCCATTTCTAAAAGGTTTTGATTTAACAGTTTCTTACTTCTGTGATGTGTCTGGCGTTAAGTACTAATAATCGCTTATGGAAACAGCTTTGCGGGATTTGCAGATACAGTACAAATCACGAGTTGGTCTCGCAGCCAGTGCACAATTACGTTTTTGTAGAAGCTGTTCTTATCTGAGCTTTAGGCTGAGTTGCTGCATTTGTTCACACATGAAGAAATGGTTGTAGTATCACATAACTTAATTTATTGCAGAGGCAGTAGACATTTTCATACAAAGTGAAACTCACGTACCTTTAACAGCATCACTGCAATTTAACTCTACATTTTTCTCAAGATGTTAATGTATGTTATTATTATTATTCAGTGTTCTGTCTTACGACAGGTCCATTGCTCTGCCCAAAAAGAGCTCTCCAGTTTTCCCTATTCTCAGCTTCTCGCTTTAATTCCTGGAACGTTATCTTCTTTCCTTGTTTAAGATCGTCGTTTAGGTGCATCAGTCTTCTTCCCAGTCCTCTCTTTCCTTCAACCTGGCCTTCGATGATATCACTCAGTAACCCATTCCTTCTCATAATATGTCCCAGCCAGTTAGCTTTCCTTCGTGTAATCGCCTGCAGAATGTTTCTTTGCTCGTTG